AATCAAACAGCCAGAGAATCATAAACAGAGATGCCAGGTTAAACAAATAAAAATACAGAAAGTCCAGTTAAATTTGACTATCAGTATAAGCATGACAAGGCAATATTTGGGGACATATTCATACTAAAAACATTACTTTTATCTAAAATAATCATCATCAGTATCAATTAATACTATGAAATAGCTAGATTCTTTACCCTTTGAGAATTAAAGATACCAATCATACTATTTTGTAGTATTCTAATATGACAAAACTAACACTTGTCTGATTCATAGATGTTTCAAAAGCAAGTTTGCCATTTAGCAAAATTAGCATGCTAAGTATAAAAATAACCTCGGTCTCCTTGAGGACGACACTATGGAAGCATATTAACAAAATACTTGTCAGACTTAAACTTACTGTTGAAAACAAGACTGTATTTCTTACTGCATATGTGCTTTGTGAAGAAAATTGCTGTCAGATGCAGAGGATACCCCAAGTCACAGACCTCAAAACAACTTAATTCAGTATAATTAGATCCACATACGTGTTTTTTTTTTTCCTTGCCTGATTAAAGTCCCCTCAGAGTCACTGCAGGAATCCAGAACAATTTTGTAGTACTCAAAGGTAGCTGGATAGACCATGTGCCATACAAAATTCATGATCAGTGTTAAATTTGAAATATCAGTTCAAAATAATTTTCAGTAGAATCTTATAATAATCAATTTTATGGTCGCTAACAGAAGTCCTCAGATCTTATTGTATAATGCTAAGAAAATCAATCTCCTAAATTATAGAAGTGTGCTTTGGAGCACATGATTTTAATAATTTCTATTGAATTTTCCCACTTCTGAAATAGGAATAGCATTGGCAGTAGCAAACATTTGTACTACGATATGCAAAGCACTGTTCTAAGGATGACGATACCAAGAAGCTTAAGCAACATTTCTATTTCCATACTGGTTTTATAGATAAACAAAATGGCAAATAAAGCTAATATAAAAGAGATATCAAAAATAGGTATTAAAAGTGCTCAAAACATTCAAATTCTAAAAGATTACAGGTAAGTTAGAACTTATCAGTGACTAGAACAGATGAGATAGGGTTTAAAAAAACAATATAAAATGAGCCAAGCAGCATGTTAAAATATTAAATCTTTGACTAAAATGCTCATCTAATTTAAAATTTCCCTGTGAAAGAAACAAAGCAAAAGATAAGTACGCTTAAGAATAAGCCAGCTGGCTGTGCTGGAAAGTAAGGACACGCTCAAAGAATGACAGAGACACGGCAAAAGGACACAGACACCGAGCTCGTGGGCTCCCACCGGCCAAGGCTGGGACATTTTGAGCACTACAATAATTACTGAAAAAATATAACCCAATGAATGAAATAGGAATCTACTAGACCAAAATGATGTTAGTCAACAAAAGAAAGTTTCCTGAGGAATGGCTCTTTCAATAGTGTAAAATTACCTCCCCACAAAAAGTATATTATTTTTAAATGTAAAAGAGTAACTTCACAGTGAAGCAAACTGGCCAACACTCTCTGTCACGTGATTAAACTGATCATCATCAGAAATGATGAATATGGCTCCGCGTCTATAGCTCAACTGGCTAAGGCGCCAGCCACGTACACCTAAGGTGGCGGGTTCGAATCCCCAGCCCGGACC